GCAAAAAAAAAAAACTCTGCGATGGTAAAATCTGCAATACTGGATTTGAAATGTATTTGGCAGAGCCTTTAGATATCAAGCTCCTCTCCTATGGAACCAACTCCCAGTCTCAGTTTGGGAGGCGGACACCCTCTCTACCTTTAAGATTAGACTTAAGACGTTCCTTTTTGATAAAGCTTATAGTTAGGGCTGGATCAGGTGACCCTGAGCCTTCCCTTAGTTATGCTGCTATACGCCTAGGCTGCTGGGGGGCCCCATGATGCTCTGAGTTTCTCTCCCCTATCCTATCCTATCCTCTCCTCTCCTCTCCTCTCCTCTCCTCGGGGATTTGTTGGGTTTTCCCTATGTAATAATATTGATAACAGTAAGGTCTAGACCTTACTTTGTAAAGTGTCCTGAGATGACAATTGTTGTGATTTGGTGCTTTACAAATAAAATTTGATTTGATGTGATTTGCTGCCAGCACTAAACTTGGTTTTTTCAAACATTACCTGTAAGTGCACCCTCCTCCTCGGTGCATACTATAACCTAAAAGGTCACTGTTTCAGGCTAATCTGTCCCTTACCAGTCTGCTTTTGTGCTTTAAACTTGACCGTTGCTCTCTGAGGGAGGGATTTAGGGAGCAGTCAATAATCTAAACTGATTTTCCAGGTGAAAATATCCATTACACTGGTCAAATGAATTGTAAAACTGTACGCACACACAATTGTGATAAGTAGAGTATGTCACAGTTTACCCCAGAAGTAACTCTACAAAATCTGAAAATCTTGTATTATAAATTGTAGTTCACATTTCTTTTATCTTCAACATGAGGACCGTCTACAGGACAACTAAACTCTGCCTAAGGAGCCATGTTTGAGAAGCCCTGTGACTAATGTAAAGCTGGGTTGGCTGCCATAACTCAGCATTTACTTATAACAGTCATAGTAAGAATGTAAGTGAATGACATTTAAGACTGCGTCCGAGTGTTTCTGAAACCTTGGTGGTGCAGGTAGCTTTAAGTGGCTCCACCAGTCAGTCCAGTCTCTGCAGAACGGCAGCAGGACACAGAGACACCAGTCTGGCCAGCATCAGGAACGTCAGCATCTGCAGAAACATACACCCACAAACACACAGTTAAGAAGCGGGAGAACAGCGAGATGTTTGTGTCAGTGCTGCTGCAAGCGTCTTCCGCCCACCCTGATGTCGTAATGGTCCTTGAGTCCTTCCTCTACGTGATCCAGGAACTGCAGGACGTCCAGCCCCTCCAGGCAGCTGTCCAGCAGGGTGTATACACTCGAACGCTGCTTTACGCACATCCAGACCGTCACCCACAGTGTGTTTGAACAGACCCATCTGCACAGAAACATTAAGCCCGAACATGTTCAGCATCCCAAACAGAAAACCCACCTCTCTGATGAGGTCTTTCCTGATCTGGGTCTCCTTATAGAGGTGAGGCAGCACCTTTGGCAGGAGACCCCAGATCAGAGATGGCTTGTTGTGAGCCGCAGAGTTAAACATCACCAATGCAACATGGGGCACGTTGATGTCCTTGTCCTGCAGGGTCTTCAGGAAGTTACCTGCCACACAGACATGACATCACTTCTGTAGAGCAAACAGTGTGTGTGTGTGAGAACTTCTGTTTTGCTCAGATTTACACTTTAACTGTTTGAAGTGAGGAGAGACACTGTCTGCTGTTTCTGGGACCTTTGGGGTTTAGGTTGGAAGTTGTTGGTTCACGTTTCTAATGTAATGTCTATATGCATAACTTTAGATAAAATTCAGATTTTGTAAGAAGTATTTAGATCCATTACTTAAGCAAGTATCAAAAGTAAAAGTACTCATAATGTAGGAAAATGATCCAAGGAGTGTTGTATTTTTATATGTAATCTATATTATTTGAATATTGCTAAATTAATGTTTAAGTAGCATTTTAAAGCTGTCACTGACTAGAGTGGGTTGTTTTGTTTTGCCTCTTTATATTCTGCTGGTTAGTTCTTTAACAGTGCATCATATTTTATATGCCCATTATGTGTTTTGTATGTAAAATGTTAATTAGTAAAGTAACTACTGTAATAACTGTAGCTTCGTCCCTGAAGAGATGAGCATGGTTAGAGGACATTTGCAGGAGGATGAAAGACAGACCACAACTATCTCAGACTTCAGAAGCCAGGAAACATCAGAAGTGGTCAGACTCACACTTAAATCTGTGGATGACAGTGTAGCGGAGCTGGTCTCTGTGTCCTCCCAGGTAATCAACATGATCGAGGGCCTTGCTGATGCTATTGTTCAGGTGGACAAGTTTAAAGATACAGATGATCTCTCTAACCGCCATTTGGACTTTGGAGGCCAGGAAACATCATCTGATCAATATGAGGACGCAGCAGATCAGCTGGAACTTCAGAGCTTCCTGGAAATTCACATACTCTCAGATGACAATGCTGAGGTAACAGTTAAAATGGACAGCATGGAGGACCTTTTGTAGCACAAGACTGGCTTTTCTGAGTCTGGCTGGACTGTTGGGCATTACTATGAAGGACATGAAGCTTTGACACAGAATAACATTGTAGCTGGTTAGATGAGATGGCGATAAAGAGTTGGGAAAGAAAGAAAGTCACTTTCGGCTTTTCCCTTTTTTTTTTTAGGGGTCGCCACAGCGAATCGTCACCCTGACGACTCGCATGTTGACATTTGGCACGTGTTTTACGCCGGATGCCCTTCCTGACGCAACCCTGATTTGAAGGCGAGAGCGCTGCGCAGTAACTACTAGCCTAGTGAGCATTTATCAAAGTATTAAAAATATTTTAAAGTATTAAAGCAAATGTACTGTTTACACATTTGTTTTGTAGTTTCAAATTGCCTTAATCACACTATATGCCTGTGCAGATTCTCAGCCATCCAGGTCATAGTAAACTGAAAAAAAACGTAGAAAAAATCAACTGGACTAAATTTCTAGGTCGAAGACGTTTCACCTCTCATCCAAGAGGCTTTATCAGTTCATGAACTAGACCTAAAAATCTAGTCCAGTTGATTTTTTTCTACGTTTTTTTTCAGCCAACATGTATGAAATTGCTGATTCATTTGACAATAAAATATAGAAACGTGTATGAAATAAAATATAGGCTATTAATAATGTTTAGGGGCGACAGTGATGCAGTGGGTAGAGCAGTCATCTCCCAACCGGAATGTTAGAAGTTCGAATCTCGATGCCCGCAGTCCAAGTGTCCTTGGGCAAAACACGGATCCCCCAAGTTGCCCGTGATGCGGCTGCATAAGCAGCGGCCCGGGGCCCTCGGCTCCAAAATAAATATCGTTGTACGATTCGGACGTACTACATCCGCCATGTTGATACATCACGTGACATACGTTTTCATAGCAGCGTCTTCTTCGTTGGATAACTCCTCTCCCGGGGCATCATGGGATAGTGAAGTGTCCATCGTATGCACACTGCAAAATCCAAACAGAAACAGTAGGTCACCCGGGTACTTTTCGCCTACTGTTTTTGGAATACTACGAATCCGGACATACTACTCGCCTCGCCTACTGCTTTTCGCCTACTATACAGTATGGTAGTAGGCGGTTTCGGAAGCAGCCTTCTTCTTCTTATGAAAAATGTATTTCCGGTTTCCCTGTGTGACGTCACACGGGAACATACCATTTGCCAGCATTGCTACGGGGCAGTCAGACTGGACAACTCGGCAATTCAACACCTGAGCAATGAACAACGACTCGGACAGTAAGCAGTGGTGCATGATGTGGCTCTTACACTTGCTTTTAACACCTTCCACCTTATAAACCAGTCACATTTGTGCAGATGGTAAAACAGGGCAGTGCTTCGCCACCCCGTGACTGTGAGACAAACGCCGGGATGGAAACGTGTCTCTGTTTGGGTCGCAGTGGCGCGGCCTGCGTTTCCGCATTGGCTGAAAGAGTGCTGTCATAGCGAGAGAATGAATAATCACAACTATAGTACTTTATTTCAGAAACCAAAAGGACGGACGAAGATTATACAATGTATTTATGTGGTGGGCTTCATGGTAAGTAGCTAAGTAAGACCGGTGGGGCGCGTTCGACTGCCTGAGCTGTGCAGTGTAAAGTCATGCTTTCATAACTCATAGGAAAACTACATAGGCAATTCAGACGCCATTTACAGGTGTATTTCATGTTCAATCTAGGGTATTTGCAGGTCATTAAAATGTGGTTAATGTATGAAATTCAAATAAAGAAAGACATCCAAAGAATACGTTTTCAAACGTGCAAATAGTTTAATAGTTCTCAGGGCATTCCTCAATGTCTTTAAAATAGTATTTTTACTGTCTGTAAAAGGCGAAGAGAATTAAGAAGTGAGGTCAGTTAAAGGAAGTTAGTTATGACTAAAGTAGCCATGTTTTTAAAGACGTTTGTAGGTGTTTAAATTATAGGTTACTTAAAATTTTACAAATTAAACATATTAACATTGAATTGTTGAATTTTGAACCCAAACGTCTGATTTTATTTGTCTGTTGTTTTACTGGTCAAAACGTGATTGTTTTCAGCAGTGAAATCATCAGTTTCATGGCCTGTTATGCTATATCAAATCTGTCATATTTACCTGCAGAGACATATTGTAAGTCTTGAAAGGTGTTACATTTAACTGTGAAATATGAACTAAAGAGCTACTACGCTGAAAGGTAGACTAGTGCGAGGAAGGAGCCAGAGACAGAAGTTGCCTTTTTTTCTACCCTCTGGCAGCAGAACCAGGCCATACATACATCTCACCCAGAGAGGCATTATGGGGGATCCCACCAAGTGTCCCTCCACCCCCAGCGGTGCAATATTAAAACCGTTTTGGATTGTAAGCCTTTCACATGTTCACAACAGGACAGGAAAATAGCAAGTTGAAGTTCAGTATAAACACAGCACTGAGGATTACTGACACAGTGGTGGAATTATGGAAAGTGGTTCCTTTCTGAAGATGGCTCACATGTATCTGCAAGTACCAAAAATACCATCGGGTCATTCAAAATAAATATCAGTAAATACTATTTAACATAAAATGCATTTGATGTGTCTGGGTATTTTGAAATATGGCCCCTTAAAATTATCAGATGCCTAAAATAATAACTAAATAACAAAGATCTTATAGAATCTGGCAGGTTTTCATGACACCTGGTGTACTGAGGGTCGCATCTTTACAGTGAAACCCCATGCCAGAAGTCATTCTAAAAGTGCTTGTATATATTTTTTAATGATCATAATCCAGATATCTTTGTCATGCTAGGAGGTAACGTGCAGGCCGGTTTTAGCTTGCATAGCATGGCTAAATGAAGGTGACTGGAAGGATGCAGGCAGCTCAGATTTTTGGCACAGGGAGCCGGAAGTTAAGCAGTTAATAGGTAATACTAGAATACTGAATATCAGTGTCACTTCAATCAAGAATTTGGCAAAGCTGCTCTGACCTCAGCAAAACAGATAAACTGCATGACAAATAATTTTAGCTCTGCAGCTACTCCCAAACTCATTGTTGAGTACTAGACTAGACTGGCTTTACGTTATCTCTTTGATTATGTTTCTGTCTATTCAAGGGCTTCTGGTGTGATAAAATTCCAGTTACAGCTGGAAGCCTCTGGACTCAGTACTGCTCCTCATTCTTTCTCCTTCACTGTTCTTGTTTTCTATAGGATTTGTTTGGAGTGAGCATGATCATCCCTCTGTTGAGTCATCATGTAAAAGCTCTTGGAGCCAGTCCCACTGTGGCCGGTTTAGTAGGTAAGGTGTGTCCAATACAAAGTAATCAATTTAAATTATGTAGAAGCAGATGCAGCATGATGTATTAATTGATCTATAAGTTAGGCAGTGACCTGGCAAGCTTGGAAAAGTATTCCAACCAACCAATTACCTTCTTGCCAGAAAAACAAATAAGTTTAAATTTGAAAAAGTCACTTTTTAAGAGAATGTCATGAGGTCACCATCTATTAACAGTACAAAACAAAGCACCATATTGTCTTAATTTAAACGCTTATTTAAATGTAAATTGTTAATGTGATTGAATATAACAGGGAGATAAAGTGGTGATAGAAAATGATAAGAAGCAGTTATGACCGGTGGACTTCTGCGTTGTGTTGTGCTGGGGCATGTGTGGCGGCTCAAGGGCCCACAAAACACCAGGACTGTGTTTGGAGGCGTGCTCCGTTTAATCTGACAATAATAAATGAACAATCAGCACATAGCATGTGCTGCCGGACCTCAAGCCCAATCTCTTCCCAGTGGAACATATCAAAAGGGAAGACAGTATAACACAACACCGTATTTATATGACAAACAGTGGGACAAACGAAGAAGAAACAAGGCGGAGTTGGAGGTCGCAACCCAATACACAACATATAGTAAACACTTGGGCCCTGGATGTCACGTATGGATAAACAGTAATTAAACCTAATAAACAACTTTGTCTAATTACATGTTATAACATAGGGACCGGTTACACAGTGCTATTAAATATAATGTTGAAAACGAATGTGCTGCCAAGCTGTTGTGTGTGTCATACGTAACAATGTCCTGAGCTGTGGCTGTAGTTTGTCTTGTCACTTGGATGATGTTGAGCTTCGGCAGTAAAGTCAGAACAGTATTATATTTATATTACAAACATGATCTAAAACAAATATGAAACTGTTGCAGGATCTACATATGGGATCTTACAGCTCTTCTCAAGCACAGTAGTTGTAAGTATTGACTTGTTTTTCTGCCAAAAAGCCTGGAGTTTCATCTGTGTCTCTAGACCTCTGTTCAGTCTCACCTGCTTGACAAAATGTAACAATGAACACTGGCTATATTAGGTTGATTGTGGTCACACAATACACCCAGTCTTTGCATTTTGACACACACAAGCTATAGTACTCCTAGTTACCCACAAATCCACATATATCACTGTTTTTACACAGAAATGAATTCATTGTGCATTGACACCTCTGGACACTAAAGACACTTCACATTAAGCATGGCCTGATGAAATATTAAAGCCTTAATGATTATGTCCAAACACTTAAGCAAACACTCAAATTGCAGTGCTCTATATTAAACATGTCACCAGGTGTAAGATTCTCAGCATCTCGCGTCGCTCTCTTGCTGCCCACAATTCCTAAAATTGGTTAATTCTCAGGAGTCATGCAATGAATTATACGGATAAGGAGTCATCTGTTGATTCCCATGTGCAGACAGAATCCTGATAAATGTAGGGATATGTGAACAGCTGGGTCTCTGTGATACTCCCACCAGGCTACATCCGGAACACAATAAAATCAACTGGTCCTAATTTCACTATTTCATCAGATGTGTGTAGCTGTGTGTGTCTACACATCTTTGTATGGATGTGTCGATAGAATTTATTTTTATACCATCATTGTAGGGATGTTTTAACTCGCCCTCATAACTTCAGAGGGCTGTCTGAGGGTAAAGACACAGTTTTAGGATTTGGGTTATAATGACGTCCAGGTTAGGGGAATAGGGTTTTGGTTAGGCTCAGGCATTTAGTTGTGATGGTTAAGGGTTGGGGATAAGGGGCTAAGGAATTCACTATGTTGTTACTGAGTATGTTCACAAATATAGACAGACAAATGTGTGTGTGTGTGTGTAAAGGCAAGAATCTAATGAAGGCTTGTATAAGGGCCTGGGCTGCTTACTTCATGTTTTTTAGTCATGTGATCTTGCAGACAGATCCACATAGTTTCAACCCAAAGCCAGATAATAATAATTTAGTATTTCTTGCATCAAAGGCCAGACTCCTACTTTTCCTCTACATTCTTGGGATTTGTCAACAAAGTATTATTAACTCTACCTGTTCAGATGATTTTATATAACTTTAGAAATATCCTTAATCTCTTCTCTGATTTTGTGACTGGCAGGGCAGCTGGAGTGATGTGGTAGGACGGCAGTTCTCTCTGCTGACCTGTCTGCTGCTGAGCGCTGTAGGCTATGGCCTGCTGGGGATGTCCACTAGCATCGCGCTGTTTGTCCTGGCACGGATACCTGTGGGTAAGCCGTAACACTGGCAACATATACGTGGCAACGTCAAAGCACTAGGTGGTGTGATGTTGCATATTAAGTAACATTTTTCTTTATCTCATCATCTTTATCTTAAAGGCGGGTCAGCTACTTATTCCCGACATGTTCTCTGTCTCAGGGCTGTTCAAGCATTCCCTGTCCATCTGCAGAGCCCTGCTGTCGGACCTAGTGTCTGAGTCAGAGCGCCCTCTGGTGATGGGACACTTTAATGCAGCCTCGAGTGTTGGCTTCATCCTGGGTCCTGTGGTCGGTGGCTACCTCAATGAGCATGAAGGAGGCTTTTATACCTCCTCCTTTACTTGTGCAACAATCTTCATTATTAATGCAGGTGGGTTGAAAATTGAGAAAAATAGGCGGTTAAATAAGCCTGTATTTTAAATAGTTATCTAACATAGTTTGTTTATCATTCTAGGGCTGGTATGGATGTTACCATGGAGCCAAACACTAGTTCACCATAATGATACTAACTCAAACAAAAACACAAGTAAACATCGTCATGACAACCACTCTAGTCAGTCTTTGCACAATGGTTCTCATACACATAGTGGCCACCCACTGCAAGCAGCAGACACTGAACCAGACTCCAGTGCTCCAGGGAAGCAGCGAGGTGGTCCCAGGTGGAAGGAGGTGTCTCTGCTCCAATCTGCCTGGAGACAACTGTCCTCAGTAGGGTCCAAGATCCACATGGTAGTCACCTCTGACATGTGGGACGTCTTCCTGGTGCGTTTCCTGATGGGCGTAGCTGTCATGCTCTACTATAGTAACTTCTCTTTGGCCATGGAAGAGCGTTTTTTTTCAGGTTATCTGATCAGCTACAGCAGCACCTTAGGGGCCCTGGCTGGGTTCCTGGTGGGGCCGGTCACGCAGCTCTATAGGAATAACATGCCTGCTCTGCTGCTTCACTCTACAGTGCTCACCTGCATACTTATTTTCCTCTATGCTACTGCGCCCAGTGTCTGGCAAGTGCTGCTGACCTCAACCTTCTTTGCCATTTCTACCACTGTTGGACGGACATGTATCACAGACCTGGAGCTGCAGAGGGGGGGAGTCCAGGCCAGTGGGACTCTGATTGGAGCCGGACAGTCAGTTACAGCTGTGGGTCGCATCCTGGCTCCTCTCCTTTCTGGTTTGGCTCAGGAGTTCAGCCCATGCGGCCCCGCTAGTCTGGGAGTGATCCTGGCTCTAGCAGCTGTAGGTTTACTGCTGATCAGGATCCCCAAATGGGACAAGAGTGGGCTGACAAAAATTGCCAAACACTGAGTGAACATAAAATTATGAGAACAACTCATCCACTGCTCAGAGAAGTACTCTTATTTGTAGGAGGCTGGCTGTGAAGGACTCACAGTGGGAATGATGTGTCTCACTCAAGCATGCTTCTTGAGAAGAGGCCTATTGCTGAACAAATTTGTGGGTCAAAACAGCACATCACCACCAGCACTGCAGTCCTTCTCTCAGAAAGAAAGGATTCAGACTCGAAAGCAGCGTTGCTGAAACAATTAGCCTCCTTCTCTCTGTGCTGAAGTTTGATCAGACAGAAATATATGGCTCTGGATGGCTTGACTGGAAACACCACTGAATTCTGTAACCACTACATGGTCTAAATTCACTTAAGTTACTTGTATGTAGCTTTTCTGATGATGCACTGCAGGCCTAAAGGACTTCTACTCTTCTTCTTCTACTTTTGGCTGTTCCTGTTAGGGGTCACCACAGCGAATTATCAGTCCCCACCAAACTGACAATGTGCACATTAAACTTGGCATGTTTTTTTTTTATGTCGGATGCCCTTCCAGATAATGGCCAATTTGGTAGTTACCAATCAACCTAAGCCGCAAGTCCATGAACTGTAGAAGGAAGCCGGAGCATCTGGAGAGAACCCACGCAGGCACAGGGAGAACATGCAAACTTTGCACAGAAAGGCACCGGTTCGGCCAGAGCTCTAACCCGGAACCTTCTTGTTGTGGTACAACAGCACTAACCCCATAAGGGACTTCAACTGCTTCACCCAAATACACAAGGAGGAGGAAGGTGATACTCTTTTCACATTGCAGGCAGTAATACTTTACACATTTCTAAATAAGATTAAACTGTGGGGAAACTGGACCGCTTGACCACAACAAAGTACAGTAGATCACATGTTACTTTGAGTTGGGTTCACACGTTTTACCTCAACACCATTGTTTTTTTTTCTAATGCACTACATCAGAAGTGGCTCCTCATGTGGTACATGAGCAAGAATGCTCTAGGTTTTAACAGTTACTGAAAGTTAATTAATTTTGATATGTTTAAAAAGACACTTTAAAAAGTGATTTTTTTTTTTTGTAAGTTACATTTCAAGTGAATTCTGGGCAATACTGTTGTTTAAAAACTTGAACACCACTTGGATATGAAGGAAAAGGGTATATTGTACATTCATGTAAAAAAAAGTACATGCCAGATCAATAAACAACAGTTTGTTTGTCTATGGTGTTTTAAAGTGTACATGAAAAACTGAAATCAATGCTGTAGTGTGCATGGACATACCTGCTTTGGGTTGCTTTCTTCCTGTCCTCAGTATGTCCCTGCATCTGAGGAAAACCCCCATAGCAGGATTGTAGGAGTGGAATTAACCAACTGATGAACAGCGGTGTTCTGCCCAGAGAGTTCCTTGGATTTCATAGCTTGGCTTTTGTCCCAACATACCGTGTAAATTATGGGATTAAAAAGGAAATAAACCCTTTTTCAACATGAAGTCTATATAAAAAAAAAAGTCATACAGTCAGGCATATAAAAAAATACATCTTATTCAATCCAAAATAAACACGGGTTACCATGTATAGTGTTACACAATATGTATGTCAAGAGAAACAATGTACAGTACAGGATACAGAGATCAATTATAAAAGTAAAGTTAGTTTGAAAACCCCCTATCATGATCAAGATTTTAGTTTAAATCACTTTTTGGTGAAGACAAACTGCATGTAACTGGTTATACTGGGCTGTAGTGGATGGTTAGCAGTGTTTTAAAATAGACCACAAGAGTGAAATAAAGTTAATTTGGGTCAGAAAACCCGTCAATATCACAACATTAGCTGTAATCACATCACCTGCTGCCTCTCCGGGTTTGAATATACATCAGTTTGCTCAGTTATTTTGATAGTTTTGGTCATTTTAAACTGGCAGTCTTTCCCACCACAACACTTTTCTTTTCCTTTTAGTGCTGAGGATCTCTTTTTGTTTCCCTCCAGTTCTGTACAGTCTGTCCCCTAAAAAAGGTCCATAAACTTCTGCAGGCAGGTGATGAGTTCCATCCATCAGTTGTTCCCATCTTTTTCTCCCCTAAGTTCCTACACCTTTCAGTTTGACTTCACAATCACACACACACACTAACACCCCGTGATAGTGTCAGTCCTGTGGTAAAGGAAGTCATAAATCCATAAATCATAGCCAAAACCCTCTAATGTAGACATGTAAATATGGGAAATAATGAAATTGGGCCATCTTTTTATCTAGCCCCAATAATTTAGTTGATTTTCTTTATTTATTTAACAGGGGCAATGCATATTACGGTAATTAAATTTGTCAATATGCCAGGGTTAGCCACAGAGGCAAATTTTCATGTGTAGTCCCTGAATACAAAAGGATAAAATACAAATTACAGTAAAACCTCAAATATGAAATAGTCAGGTGCAGCACAATAAAACAATACTAAACAGTGCTATCACCAGCAATATATAATAACATAATTCCAGCTGATTTATACTCAGTAAAAATAGATTTAATAAAATAAACTAGATAAACAGGGGCACAGACCTTATCCTACAGACCTGATTACTGAGAAGCCAGCCAGAAGTATAAGCCAGAATTAGGGTGGAGGTGCATGGGGTGAGGGGTGTGGCCGGGGGACATCAATCATCTGTCACAACTAGTTTGACAGCTGCTATATTTTATATTATCTCAGATGCTTCTACATCTTCTTAGGGTTCCACTGAGGCTGCCTGAGCAGGGGATGTTGTGTCACATTGTCTTTGGGCTCAGCAGCCCAGGCTGTAGGTGGAGACAAAGGCCGCTGTTGCTGCTCCGGCTCTTCTGCTTTATGATGCGGTTCTCTAAAGTTACCAGCTGAGTTTTTGTCACTGGTGGATGACTTTGAATGACGGCGAGGAGCAGGCACATGGGAATCACTGTAAGAGGAGGATGTTCTGGACATGCCATGCCTTGTCCTGCCACTCTTACCCCTGTCATGTACAGAGGGTACCTCGCGTAAAGGCGAGGATAGTGGTGCGGGGCCGGGGGAAGGTGTGCGGGAGGGATAGACCACCTCTGACATGTTTTCCTGAACATCTGGGACGTGGAGAAAAAAAAAAGTTTCTAAATCAACAAATGAATTGTGTCATGCCATCACAGCATGTTATACAACTGCATGTACCTGTAAGTGACACAGGAAAGGTCTTTGATGAATAAAGAAAATGAATTTGATCACCGAGTCAAAACGCATTATTCTGCCCAGTCCCCACAACAAACCAGGATGTTGTGGAGCCAAACATTGTTCAAACCCATATACTGTAACTTTATTTGACATTTTACATAGACATTAAGTATGCCAGGCTGGCCTTCAGAGAGATGTGTACAAAATTTCCCTTTCAGCGAGATCTTGTGAATGCACAATTGACTTTTGCTTATTTCAAATACTGTAAAAAGTCCCGGCTGTTTGCAGAAACATTTTTAATATGTGGATCTGATGTTGAATGAAAAAACATGTCACCCAGTGCAGCTTAGTGTACGTGTACCTGCATGGCTCCGCCTCCCAGGAGAAAGTTTTGAGCCCAGACTCTTCCCAGCTGGAAGAGAGTGATACTTATGGATTGTGGACACCCCCTGAGAATAACACGGGAATAACAGAATGGAGAGGAAAAAGCAGAATGACAAAAAAGAGATAGGATAAAGTCACTAAACCTTGTGTTTGATTTAGATCATTTCCATCTCAATTCAGTCAAGACATAAATAACCTGTTTGTCAATTGTCAACTGTTCAATTCATCTCTCACTTACCCATAGTACTTTAAATTAAGACTCTGAGAATGTACCATCAATACTCATGTAAAGTCAATACCAGTCATGGTTATTGTTTTCCTGCTTACTGCTCTGTGAAAGCCGTGAGATTGCAGGCTGCGGCGGATGCTGTTGTGGCGTCTAATCACTATTTCTCTGGGCTGGCTATCGTTGGGGAGGGCATGTTTACTTGTGAATGACACCGCCTTAAAAACACACACACACAAAGGGACAAAATGCAACATTATATGCACAACATCATACAGCAAATTTCTACTACTGATGAACACTTCCATATCAGAGATTCTACACTTTTTCATGTGTTAATATGTCATAACTTCACATGAGCCTATGGCAGCTGCAATGCTTTGACCTTTATGTCAGTAGAGAAGACATGAAAACATGCAGACAGTTCAGATGCTTTGACATGAGACAGCATTCTTTAAAGCTCCAACTACCCAAACAAAACTGGCCACAAATGTCACACATGTGCCCATAACCCTGTTTGGACGTAGGAAGTTGCAGCATTAACCTTTCCTACGTATGAAACACTCCCATGGGTATATTTTTATTCCATTTATAAACATATACACAAACACACATTTATTAATACATCGTTTTTTTGTCTTTTCCTTTTTTCCTCCTATGTGAATGCACAAAAATGTTCTTGGCGCCAACAAAAGCACATTGAGAGCCAATGTACCGCCGTCAGATTAATTGTGTATCATGATGTCCTGTCCTTAAAGGGAAAGGGCTGCAGGTTGCAGTGTGTGGATATGCAAAACAGCACAGAGTTTCAGTGGCTGGAGCATGAGGAAAGCATGAAGAGGAAAAAAGCAGATTGGCATGTAAATTACCAGATGGTTAAACATCTCACCTGCTGCCTGATCTTGTACATGTTCTTTGACAGGATATCATGCATCTTCTTCACTTCAACAGCCAATAACTTATTAGGTTTAGATGAGCTTTTCTTTTCCTCACTTAAAAAAAGACAAAACAGATAATAGGAGGAAACAAATGTAGTTAGTCTCATGTTGATCAGAACAGACAAAATGTAGGTGGTGTGCTAGAGCAACACAGAGAGATGGTTTCCTACTAGAGAGAGATGATGGACGGAGCAGCACTGATGTCTCCAGACACCACGTCCAGGATCAGCATAGCATTCTGCAGCTCTAGCTTCTTGTACAGCGCCAAAATACTGGACTCGGCCCGCCTGTCTCGGATCAGGATCTTCCGCAGGATTCGATCGTTGAACCTCATAAATCTGAAAATGGGATTATTGTTTTTGTGTTGTCAAGACAAAACAATATCACAAGCCTTATGTTTTAAAATACTTATCCCCAACTTTGAATCTAGTATTGCACATTAAACCAAAGTGTAATTTTGGCACTTTTTATCCATAGACCACAACTTCTAGAGGAAAGAAAATTGCAAGACAAGTTAAAAGTCATCATCTTAATTATTTGAAAATATATGTGCATTTTTACATCAATCAGCCATAACACTATGACCACCTGCCTAATACTCTGTACACAGGAATGAGTGCAGCAGTTGGTTGGTCGCAACTCACTGTGCATCTTTGGTGAATCTATTTGCTTTGATACTACTTCTGTCAGGAAGAGCACGAATGTGTCGACCATTCATTGAAAAACTTGTGTAAAAGGAGTGAAAACTGTGGTCATGAGGACAAGTTAGACAGAATTTTTAAGACCAATATCACCACTATAGCTGCTCAGTGTTTTCATAGAAACCAATGTACAGTATTTCTCATTTTCAACCATTTTAACAATCAAATCAATTTTAATCTTTTGAAAAGTACAAATGGAAGTTAAAAGTTTAATCTACACTAGGTCAACCTCATCATCAGTGAGCCGTGGGCGTCCATGACCCTGTCACCAGTTCACCATTTATCCTTCCTTAGACACTGTTGGTAGGTACTAACCACTGCAGACCAAGAACACCAAGACCTGCAGTGTGGGAGATGCTCTGTCCCATTTGTCAGCCATCACAGTTTGGCCCTTGTCAATGTCATCCAGATCCTTACACTTTCCCATTTTTCCTGCTTCCAACACATCAACTTTGAGGACTGAATGTTCACTTGCTACCTACAGTGCCTTGCGAAAGTATTCGGCCCCCTTGAACTTTGCGACCTTTTGCCACATTTCAGGCTTCACCCAAGCGACTTACAGCTGTAATCGCAGCAAAAGGTGGCGCTACAAAGTATTAACTTAAGGGGGCTGAATAATTTTGCACGCCCAATTTTTCAGTTTTTTATTTGTTAAAAAAGTTTGAAATATCCAATAAATTTCGTTCCACTTCATGATTGTGTCCCACTTGTTGTTGATTCTTCACAAAAAATTACAGTTTTATATCTTTATGTTTGAAGCCTGAAATGTGGCAAAAGTCGCAAAGTTCAAGGGGGCCGAATACTTTCGCAAGGCACTGTAATATACCCCACATACTAACAGGTATCATTTTAACAAGATAGTGTTATTCCCTTCACCTGTCCATGGTCATAATGTTATGGCTGATTTTTTGATTTAATTTTATAACTTTCTAGTCTCCTCACTTACTTTGTGACTGTTTTGTCTTAATACAGATGATATTATTTATGTTGGTGTGCATTGCATTTTGTTTCTCCAAGCTTCATATTGTGTATAGAAGAATTCCAGCTTTTCAAAGTTACTTATATGACTGTTTTTGTAAAACCACTGCTGTGACACTTCAGTTTTCCTGCATGGGATCAATTCATAGTCTTTTATTTTTTATTTTTCCACATGGTGCTGGGTTAAGATGTCTGACCCTTACACATCATTCGGTATATTCCTGGTAATGCTCTGGCAGCTCTGCAGCCACCTGCACCTGTTTGTTTTTCACCCTCACTCTTCATCAGTCAAACACCTGATCAGGTTAGGCCAGTTGGTCCACCTGGCTTATCATGACCTGATTAACTCTGTAAGATTTGAGTCATTATCCTGATGAACTCACCAACAACTGAGGACTGTGTAAAAAGAAATAAACATTATGGCTATGAAACCCACAGTCACTGTTCATTTCTAAATTCAATGTGTCACAACAAAGAGCCAAAACAAACATTTTACTGTAACAATACTTTCTAAGTGCTCCACATGTGTCACAGCCATATTCACAGCATTTTTGAAGAGTTCAAACCAAATTTAAAATCTGCAATCTTAGACTTGAGAAACCTGCCGGATGAGATAGACATGAAGACAACAAAGCAAAGTGGAGGAGAAGGGACAATGGGAAAGAATGAAAGGCTAAAAGGGAGAATATACTGTAGGATAAAGGGCTGAAAGAATGAAGGGAGAAGTGAGCACAGTACAATGAAGAACAAAGGTGTCTGCTGTCCTGTACAAAACGTCTTTAAGAATCAAACCATGTGTTCTAAAATGTAAAATTTATAACCTCTATAATAAACATACAATAACATATTATATGGCTATACTGTAGTATACATTTAGTTCATAACAGAAATGAACAAATTCTTTTCCATAATATGTATGATTCTGATTTATTTTAGGAGTGTTGAGGATTTGCAATTGAAAGCAATACTTCTACTTCAAAGAATTACTTTGAAGTACCATTACTTCTGATAACAAAATGTAAAAACACACCACTTACTTTTGGTTGAGCAGAATGAGTAGACAGGAAACAACATAAATTCTTACTTGTCTTTCCAGTAGAAGTGGCCGTACTGTCCACAGATGTCCTCTATGCCTGCCACAGTGTGGTCCATGAGCTGAGAGCAGAGTATGCACTCTTAATACGTGTGCAAAAACAGATGTCCACTGCATGTACAGTAATGACAATCTTTGTCATACCCTGCAGTGAATCTCTGCATTGATGGTGTAAAGGTTGCGGTTGGTTTTGCGGATATTGATTAACCCGATCAGAGGTCGCATAGTGATGCCCTGGGGAGAAGAGTAAGAGAGAAGATCACAGATTGAGAAAAACCCAGGAAACTATTAGAAAATGTTTTAAAATTAGACTGTGAAATGACTGGATGTAATGATCAACATTCACAGAATAGACATCCTTACCAGTTCTAGTTTTAGGGACTAAACACTCAGTACACAGTGTCAACAACACAACAGTGCTGTAATCAGACATGTCATACAATAAATAATAATCGTGATATTCCTAAGTAAACGGTAAAGAGCTGCATGTGTCCCAACACAAGATGTGAGGTTTAAAATTTAAGAGTCACTATGACAACTCGGGCTGGAATGACAGACTTAGGAGATGACCATTATATCCAAAACCCACACAGCTTACAACATGTGGGCTGTTCCTAACTTAAGTGAAAATCATAATCCAATACAGGCTGCTTGTCTGTTTCAAGATTACTGTTTCTCTCTGACTGACCTGCAGACAACAGTGCCACACGTGAAACATACGTACACACAGTATCACCACACAGACACTTGTTTACCTGAATAAAGACAGTCACGAGGATAAGGGCAATGGTGGTGGTGACGAAGAGGTTCTTGCGGCCGATGAAATCAGGAAGAGTGAAGGCCAAGGCAAATGAAATTGCACCTCGCAGGCCACAATAGGCCAGAGCGAACTGATCCTGGAAGGTGAATGGGATAGTGCGGAAAGGGTTCATGATCAGAGTCAGCACCAAGACACCTGCAAGTGAAGAACAAAAAAATGTTAAGGTGCATGTTTCAGAGGTTCTGTTGTTAGCAAGTATAAAACTGCACTAGTCTTTTTGTCATCAGGTGCAATGTAAAAGGGATCACATGTAGCTAAGAACAGAGAGCTCTCACCCCATTTTGCAGTTTTTTTCAGCTCTACTAAGCTTTTTAACATCTTTCACCTCATTGTTTTTGGTTTTCCACAATTTTACTGTTGCTTTAGTCTCATCACAATCATCAACCTTGTGTCCAGCTGCATCTTGCAGCTGTTTAGCACCACAGAAAGGAAGGAGCTATAACCTGGAGCTCTCATTCACATAATCCTGTGGAACTTGAAGGGCTGATGTGGTCGATTCTGCTTGCTTTTCCACTGTATTCTTCCCTGTGTATGTCACGGTTTACATGAGGGCTGTTCTGAGGTCCTGGCACACACACGCTGTGCAGTGTGCTGAGTCAACAATCTTAATGCTTGTTAATCATGCGTTCTGCAAAATCAGCCTGTAAGACAGATTGTATGAGCAGCTTATCAAACAGCTGTTGACAAACCAGAACACAAAAAGGCAGAAATACGATGTCTTCACTGCTCTGCCCGTGGTCATCTCACTGAAGTCCCCATTCTACCCCTAAATCAGTATGAGTGAAGTCCCAGTTTTTCCCTCTAAACCAGTAGGAGTTTATGCTCGCACACTGTGCTTGTTATTCTAATACTTGAGACATAATGATGTTGGCATTTAACCAATCACAGGCAACAGTACCTGGAACCAGATTTAGTACTACCTCCTGAAAAGTAGCTCAATCGATGTGAATATACAACACACACAAAATGGTGACCTACTCCTCAAAACATTTGATTCATAGCACTACAAGAGGCCCAAATCACCACAGGAACCTTTTAATCCTGTGACAAGGTCAACAGATGCAAATACAAACAGAACCTGGCACAGACGGCTCCTGCCCTCTGCTTACCCAGACCTCTCCACACAAAAGCAAACAGCAACGTGAACAGGATGTAGCCCCAGTTCCACTCGTGTTCTGTCGTTATAGTGGCGATCCCAAGGAAGAAGAAAATGAGCGTCTCGGAGATGGAGGCAAGCATTTTGATCACATGGCGGAGGGTTGTGCAGGAACGCTGGGAAACATTTTCTTCCACGTAGTATTTCATGGTGATGGCACACATCACAATGCTGCAGAAAAACATAAACAACTCTTATTTTGCTATTGTATGTTCTTGCAGCAATCACAATGCTGCAGAAAAACATAAACACAACTCTTATTTTGCTACTGTATGTTCTTGCAGCGTTGAAAATATTTGAACCTGTAAACATTTTAAAACCTACTCACGCCGTGACAGATGACATAGAGAAGAGCTCGGCTATCAGATAGGCCAGGTAGCTGAACATAAATATGAAGAGAGGCTCGATTTCTCGAACCTTGGAAGTGAATCTTGTGGTGAAGGCGGCTACAAAGCCAAACACAATGCCAAAGATTAACCCACCGAACACAACTTCAAGGAACTCTGCTATCCCCAGCAAAACATCCGTTGCCTTCACCACCTCTTTCTTGGCCTGAAAGTTGAACATGTTGTACAACACCTGCAAACAAGTACAAACGCATTCATACACATGCAGAAACATACCGATACTGTTCCAGATAAAAGAAATGCATTGAAATATTCACTTTGCGCTGTTTGCAATTTGATCACCTCATTTCACCAAGCACAGAGAATGACTCGTTACATCCATTTTCTTATGGTTCTGCATACACTATCAATGATAAATGAAGTCAGCTTTCCTCCTTAAGTCTTTAGCATTGCTGGTTAAATATATCTCATTGCATACATCTACTAATATTGTGTTTGTAGCACACTCAAAGACAACAAGACATTTGTAGATATTGGAAATTACCCCTGTGTTTGGCTGTGCTGGAACACCGCTCGATACATAACTGCAAAGGGGGGAGGACTCTCTTAAATAGAGTATAGGCAGCACATGAGGTGGCTGATCTTCACAAGTTGATAATAGTAATTCCAGAAAATAGGTTGTCCCTTCATATTAGGCAACATGATGTATCTGCTTTTGAACACACAGTGAAGAGCCTACCGACTGAAAACTGCCCCAAAGAGCCCAGATACAAAGACACCTTAATATCAGGTGTGATTTCATGGGTTTTAATTTCATTCATTTTACACAGTCTAGGTCAAGGAATGAATTGTCAAGTTCAGCACAATATTTCTAAATATTCAAATGCAAATCTGCAGAGTTACTAATTCACAGTCAAAGGTTACGGGCTACTGGGAGGATATGGTGCCCACATTTTCTGGTCACAACACAACATTTTTTACCACCTGAACAACATTACTCTTAGCATACTGAAAGTATTTGTACATTTGTCAGATATTACATTTTCTTTGATGCTCTGTAACACAAAGACCTTTGTGTGACTACGTGGTCTTTCCTTATCATGTCGTAATCTTACTATGTACTGAAAAAAAAGGGTCACCACACCAAAGCAAAGAATGGGTTAATGTGTGTGCATGACTGGGGTGGATCATGTTTGAGCACAATAAGAGGAGGACAAGGGGAGAAATATGAGAATGGGCTCAGTTCAGTGAAGTTAAATATGCTGATTATATTGTGTGTGTTAACCTGTGATGGAAATTTTAAAGTGAGTCTGGAGAAATAAAGAGTGAACAACCAAGTTGCCTTTGTGTTTTATTTCTTGCGAGAAATATGATCAGTCAGTCATACAGAATGTCATGCAGTCTGCAGAGGGAGTGACAAAAGAAATAAGTAACAGTCAGGTTTTGTACAACACTGGTCAGCTATCACCCCACTACCTGGAAAGCAATCAGAAATGTGTCTTAGCTAGTATGAGTATTGCGCATACTGGGCAGATTGCATGGGCATTATTTTCCATCTAAGGCTAGGGTATCACTTTGACACATACAGTGTTTCCAAAGCAGTTATACAAACACATGTTCCATGTGTGAGAAACCGAAGTATACTGTATGCAAAGAACAAAAGCACATAACCCAAAATTTTCCATTGCAAAACTCCTCCCTTACAACCAAAGCAAACAGGGACCTCAAAAACTAGTTTGGCAGAAAGCTGCACGGCCTTTAGCTGTGGGCACATGCTTGGCATTTCCATTTGTGAATAACTTTTCTTTATGGAAATCTTGCGGCACAGGCATTTGTAACGCCTTCAGGGCTGGCTCTAGCTTGTCTTCTCTGGTTGGCTGTTGTTCCTGAAACTTCAGCACACGCGAGTCCTTATCAGAGATACAGTACACCTGAGCAGGCTGGGCTCAAAATGCTATAAAATAGACCTGCAACGTCTTCCCAATCTCTTCCCCTGGCCTGCTAGCTAACCCCACTGTTTGTTTTCCCACATCCATGCACTCACACATTCCATACTATCCATTAAAACTTCTTGCATCACTCAGAACTATGTGTGGCTTTGTCACATACTGATGTTGAGCCAGGTTGTGACATTTTTGCCCCCACACATGTGTACTGTACTTGGCCAGAAAAGAGATGAACCAAATCATGCAGTAGCTTCTCAGAATAGCGAATCTGATGCTTCCTGTAGGCTTCAAATTAAAGATTCAAAACAGGTACTTAAATATTCAGAGGGGTTACAAAAGTCTTCATAGTTAACTATTGTACTCTCTCTCTCTCTCTCTCTCTCTATGATTTTGATGTGTAGGGCAAAATTCCGACCTCAGATCTGTGTAAAATACAAATATTTTACATATGTAGGACCCATAATACCATTTGATTTGTTATTTTGTCTGTCTAATTCCGGCCCACACCCTTTGCCAATTAACTCTTCTCTCTCCATATGAAAGTCCATGACCTCTAACATCTAAAATAATAATAATAATAATCTGTTGTAATGGTACCTTTGCTTGTTGAACTGCTTTTTTCATAACAAATAGTAGCCCAGAGGGCACTATCCAAAGCAAGTAACCATTGTACAGCAAGTCTCAGCTCAGTGTTAAATGCACAAAAATAACTTACAACCCCTATATTATTCACAAACACACTCTCTGCTTTAGCTCACTCACCACAGTGACAACATCACTGAAGATGCTTTCCCCGAGCACCACGATGCAGAGCTGCTCATTGACAGACACGTCCTCAAACAAGTTCAGCATGGCCACAGGGTCCACGGCTGAGATGATGCTGGCAAACAGCAGGTTCTCCTGGAGGCTGATGTCGTGAACACCAAAAGCATCTATCTGGCATATGGCGAACAGAGATATTCCTATGCCAAAGCTGTTCCACAGAGTCCCAACCAATGCGAACCACACCACCTGTACCAACAGAAAGAAAGCATCAGATTGTCTTTGTATGAGAACAAGAAGGTGAACCTGATTCAGGAGACAGTGGCTGATGTGTAACAGACCGTGCCGATGTTTTCAAATAAATGCCTGATCGGAATGAAGTATCCTGACTCAAGGACAATTGGCGGCAGCATGTAGAGGAAGAAGACAGTGTTGGTGTGCACAGCAGGGGGCTCCTCATTGGCAAAGTACATAATGCTACCTACAATCAGACCAAGGGTGATCAGAAGGCAGGTCTCTGGCACCCAGATGGTGATCTTGTGGTACATATTGAAACCTGAGAAAAGAGACTTTAGTTTAAATATAAAATCATGAGATTGAAAGGAAGCACTGCGCCTGTAGAAAGGTGAGCTGCATCCTCTGAAAGGGTCAGGGCTATTTTTAATAAACTAATCATCTAGATTTGAATCATAAAGTCACCTTTAGGGGCATATGTTTCTGTAACATACCAATCTTTGCAAATGAAGCCAGCAGCATCCAGAGAGTGATCTCAAGAGGTATTTGTATTCTTGGATAATTCAATTTAAACAATGCTGAATTTCCCTTTGTTGGCTCTAGACTGGCCTGGGGATCATCCTCTGGGTTAATATGGGGTATAATCGTGACACCTCCATTTGGCTGGGGAAGAACCTCTCCTCTGAGGCCATGCAGGAGACTTAAAGCTGTTAAAATAATAAATAAAACTCCTCTTCTGGTGATGCCTACATCCATTTTGCACGGACTGCAAACGGTAATCCAAATGGATGTGAATACGGAAAGGACGTCGCTGAAACTCAATTATGCCATCCGATTTCCCCTATCAAAATAAAACTAATGAGATGAGACGAAAGGACATCACTTTCTCCTCCAAACGCTGATTCGTTTACGTTTCTTACGTCTCGACCATCATCACTTAACTGAAGCGTCTATGCAGCTCGTTCTCGGTTGTGTAATCTAGCCGATTCTGATTCCTAATGAAGTGCAACACACCTGTGATTTACCTGCGGCGCGCCCACGAGGTCAAGCAGAGGGCGAGCGCTGCGCTGGTTGGATGTCACCTGCAGCGGTGTGGTGCTACCGCTGGCCAATGAGGGCCACTCTTTAGTTTCGGTGCCTCAGCTCTCACCGCGACTATAGTGTCAACTTTCATTACTTGTAGGCTTAGTTTCTCTGATTTATCTCAAGTGAGTCACGAGTTACCGGTTGCAAAGGTCAAAGGCTCTGCCATCACAGAGTAAATAGCTAAAGTATGAAACAAAAAATATAGGCTGTGTCATGAGAAAGGGCTAATATAAACAGGTTTCTTCAATTAATGATGGGATCTTTACTCTTCAAAATCTATGATAATAACAACATAAGACTGAATTCTGTCAATAAGGTGTTTAGAGGATCATTGCTGATTGGTTAAAGTTGTCCATCTCTGATTGGGTGTTGTCAGCAAAATCTGAAAAGATCAAATCTGGTGAGGAAATGAATGGTCATCTCTTGAGATAGCTTAAATTATCTCTTTTATAAGAAAGAACTGGCGGAATGGCAGAGGAGTGCAACACATACAGTAGTCACAAAAAAACAAACATGATTTATATCTAGATGTCAGTAATTTGTTACTTCTGGAGTTGACTCCTTCTGAACCCACATGGTCAGAATAAAAAATAAAATAAGAACAAAGAAAATATTTGTAGTTGTGAGCTGTGTACACAGAGACTATGTACACAGAGCCTACATATTGTGTCTTTATCTGACACTTTGTGAGGCTGGTCCTTGGAAACCTGATGCTCCCCTTCAGACCAGGTGCTGCTGTTGACACCTGATCTCTGTAAAAACATTGTTCAGTTCTGTTACTAACTATAGTTTTATCACACAGTCAAAATTATGGGATAGTAAGTGTCTCAAAGTTTGGACTTACATATAATTTTGACTTAGCAACTCAAAATAGTTTCCCATAATATGAGCTATAAGATTTTAGCTGGTGTCTTGTATGAATAATGATAATTAGTAGGCTACATTAATAGTATTAGTGTCAGTAGTGTTATCATTTAGAATCGTATCATTTTGATATAGGGACTCCCATTAACTTTAAAACGTACAATACCCTGCCCCCATTATCTAAAAATTATATATCCATGACAAACAACAAATTGTCAAAAATACAACAAGAGCTGCTCAAGCCAGATTATTTATTTAGTTAGTTAGTTATTTGTTTGCTTGTTTGTTCGTTCCTATTTTTTCCACCAATTTTTCCTGGTTTAAATAAAATCTGCTCACATCGCAGACAAAGATCCTGGACGTTCATTCGATGTAACTGTGCCTATTAGTCTCCTCACACAGTACTCCTCCACCCTACCATGTGAGGTCGGTGGTAGTCGGCTCCCGCAGAGCAGACAGACAGCGCCCCCCAGTGGACGGCGGAGGAGCTGCTCCCAGTGGAAGTATTACGTCTCGATGTGTCACAGGGAGTCAGGGCGAGTCTTGACTGCAGACATCGTCGAGTATCCAACTAGGATCGATGCGCATCAATATGAACGGAACCCATCGCTTTTCTCTTAAAGGTATGAGATATTAGGCTGTTTTGTTTGCGTGTGTTTGTCATGACACGTTACGTGTCTCTCATGTTTGTCGAGGATGTTTGCTCGCTGTGATGATGCTGTCGTTAAGAGACAGCAGCGCCTCGCGGGAGGACCAGAATAAGCCTCATCAACAACATCTCAAACGTCGATTTGGCTGTTGTGATTTTCTGATTTATAATTGTGCTGGACGAGGTGGACAGCACCACGCAGCAGCCCGCTGAATCAGCAGATATTATGACGTAATATTTGTTATTGTCCAAGTCCAGTGACAATATTATTGGCCCATGCTGTCATAAACAGATTTCCAGTGAACAGCTCTGGCTTCTGAATTCTAGTTTCCATCCTCCCAGCCTGGTAAACAGACAAGATTACTCCCAGGTTTATGTATAAAAGGCCATTACACTGTTGATGTACGTATGCTACGTATTTGTTTTTCTGTTACATATTAACATCTAATACCGGATGTGCTGCTCTGTGAAGCAACATCTCATGCCATTGCAGGCCTTCCCAGATGTCACCCACTGCAGCCTAAAGGATTAGACGTGATTTGTTGAATCACTGTTTTTTCTCTTAACAGCAAGGGAACTAAATTACAGTTCTTCTATGGTTGTCTGCCTGTTTTATTTCTCTTGCATCTGTGGGCGCACTGTGTGTGTGTATGTATACCCTCTTTTTTTTTTAGAAAGAAACTGAACAAAGCATGATAGAGACTTCTGAACCTGCTAATCTACACATGGCTGCATTTAGCAAAGCCCTGAATCATATCATTATCATCATCATCACCATTAATAGTTTCTTTCTCATGCTCATTTCTCTGCTGTCTGGGTGACAACAGCTTCTTTACATGTGATATTACTTCCTCTTTGCTTGTGTGTGTGGATAAATGTTCTCCACTTGAGCATAAACCTATTTGTATCTTCTCCACTTTGATCAGTGGGATCAGAAAGCAATTTATGTGTCAGTCACCTGCTGACAGCGCACACATGGTTAAAATAGTCATTTCTTCATTGCACAGACAACTAGATCAGACTCCAGGTCAGCACAGCTTAGCTCTGGACTGAAACAGAGGTATTAGTTGGTGGAAACTGAGAAGAACACAGGGTTACAGGGGAACAAGGGGAAGGAGGATGGCTGAAGCAAAGGAAAGGAGAGGGTTGATGACTGAGCATAATAAGGGCAACACGAGGTTTGGGAGACATTTAAACTGAAGAGGAGATCAGTTAAAGAAGCAGGACATTTTAGAGCGGCACTGCAGCAGCTGGTTCTGACATCACCTGCAGGGGGCCAGCTATGTGCCGCCAGCCTGACTAACTGGGTCATTTCTGCTTCCATACCACCATACATGGTAGACATTGGCTGTCTACCATGAGGACCACCTGAACATCCTTTTATACACTTGCTTCCTTGCTGCACATTCAACATCTTCACCTTCTGTTAGAGCCCCTGAGCTGTTTAGTCTTACTGAGGTCAGAGGTCACCTACAGAGCAGCAGCTGTGGAGCTGGTCAGAATTCAGCTGTGAGGATTTGCTGCTGTTTTGTGTTCTAAATTGGGTTTGTTATTTTCAAATTATGGCCTGCTGGTCAGACAAAGCAAGATACTTGGATTTAAAAATTTGTGATGGGCACTTTCACTATATTCTAGCAGTTTATATACCATCCAGTTAATTGATTAATCATGAACATAATTGTTTGCTGCAGCCCTGCTAATTTGTGAGGAGGGCTGCAATTATTTTTATCTGTCAATTATTTTCTGTGTCTAGAAAATTGCAGGAAATTATGAAAAATGCACATCACATCATGGGACGGCTTCATATTGTTTGTTTTGTGTGACCCACAGTCCAGATATTTTCAATTATAATGATGCAGAACAAAGAAAAAGGGTAAGAGATTTGCCCTTGATAGATGACTTAAATAATAAAACAAGGATCAAACTTGTAATTAATTAATTATGTCCAGCAATTGACTGATTGATTGACAGATTGTTTCCGCATCATTCCTGGACACTGCCTCCCGTGTCCATTGTCCTTATTGTATCAAATAGCAACGCACAAGACAGACAGACACAGATGTTCTCTCAGTCTACCACATCTGTGTATATATGGGCTGAAGAGGAAGTGGTATATAGTCTAGCTGATCACTCTGAGAAAAGCCAAATTGATAATTCTGTGGTAAAAATAAAAAAAGCACTTACAGTATGTAAGTAGAAACTGAGTCTGCCATGCCACAGGAAATGTAAACACTTGCCTGTCAGGGAAATGTGAAGCGGCTTTCAAGCTCGGGTTAGTCATCAGACTAACGCTGCACGCTTTTCCTCCTCAGTAACATTTGCATTTTTTCATTTTCAGACAGGCAGTTGGTTGGCCGTGTCACTGCAGCTCACTGTTTATCCTCTGTGAATCCGTTTGCTTCCATAGTTTTACTGTCAGGAAGAGCATAAATGTGTCGACCATTCAGTGAAAACCCTGTGTAAATGGAGTGAAAACTGTGGTCGTGAGGACAAGTTAGAGATGAGTTTTTAGACACATTCAACAGCCTCATCACTCTAGGTGTGATATCACCCTGACTCTTTCTCTTCATAGAGACCAATGTTCAGTGTTTCTCAACCATTTTAACAAAGAGTCAAACAAAATAGAATCTTTTGAAAAGGATGAATGAAATTTAAAAGTTTAATCTACAGCAGAGCCCAGACTCTTCCCAGCTGGAAGAGAGTGATACTTATGGATTGTGGACACCCCCTGAGAATAACACGGGAATAACAGAATGAAGAGGAAAAAGCAGAATGACAAAAAAGAGATAGGATAAAGACACTAAACCTTGTGTTTGATTTAGATCGTTTCCATCTCAATTCAGTCAAGACATAAATAACCTGTTTGTCAATTGTCAACTGTTCAATTCATCTCTCACTTACCCATAGTACTTTAAATTAAGACTCTGAGAATGTACCATCAATACTCATGTAAAGTCAATACCAGCCATGGTTATTGTTTTCCTGCTTACTCCTCTGTGAAGGCTGTGAGATTGCAGGCTGCGGCGGATGCTGTTGTGGCGTCTAATCAATATTTCTCTGGGCTGGCTATCGTTGGGGAGGGCATGTTTACTTGTGAATGACACCGCCTTAAAAACACACACACACAAAGGGACAAAATGCAACATTATATGCACAACATCATACAGCAAATTTCTACTACTGATGAACACTTCCATATCAGAGATTCTACACTTTTTCATGTGTTAATATGTCATAACTTCACATGAGCCTATGGCAGCTGCAATGCTTTGACCTTTATGTCAGTAGAGAAGACATGAAAACATGCAGACAGTTCAGATGCTTTGACATGAGACAGCATTCTTTAAAGCTCAAAACTACCCAAACAAAACTGGCCACAAATGTCACACATGTGCCCATATCCCTGTTTGGACGTAGGAAGTTGCAGCATTAACCTTTCCTACAGATGAAACACTCCCATGGGTATTAGTCAGAACTGAAAAATGTGTAACTGCCTCTTAGATGAAGGTTTCATGTCAACAAAGTGCTCCTGTGTTTTGCAAGAGTTCCAAGACAGTTCAGATGCTTTGACATGAGACAGCATTCTTTAAAGCTCCAACTACCCAAACAAAACTGGCCACAAATGTCACACATGTGCCCATAACCCTGTTTGGACGTAGGAAGTTGCAGCATTAACCTTTCCTACGTATGAAACACTCCCATGGGTATATTTTTATTCCATTTATAAACATATACACAAACACACATTTATTAATACATCGTTTTTTTGTCTTTTCCTTTTTTCCTCCTATGTGAATGCACAAAAATGTTCTTGGTGCCAACAAAAGCACATTGAGAGCCAATGTACCGCCGTCAGATTAATTGTGTATCATGATGTCCTGTCCTTAAAGGGAAAGGGCTGCAGGTTGCAGTGTGTGGATATGCAAAACAGCACAGAGTTTCAGTGGCTGGAGCATGAGGAAAGCATGAAGAGGAAAAAAGCAGATTGGCATGTAAATTACCAGATGGTTAAACATCTCACCTGCTGCCTGATCTTGTACATGTTCTTTGACAGGATATCATGCATCTTCTTCACTTCAACAGCCAATAACTTATTAGGTTTAGATGAGCTTTTCTTTTCCTCACTTAAAAAAAGACAAAACAGATAATAGGAGGAAACAAATGTAGTTAGTCTCATGTTGATCAGAACAAACAAAATGTAGGTGGTGTGCTAGAGCAACACAGAGAGATGGTTTCCTACTAGAGAGAGATGATGGACGGAGCAGCACTGATGTCTCCAGACACCACGTCCAGGATCAGCATAGCATTCTGCAGCTCTAGCTTCTTGTACAGCGCCAAAATACTGGACTCGGCCCGCCTGTCTCGGATCAGGATCTTCCGCAGGATTCGATCGTTGAACCTCATAAATCTGAAAATGGGATTATTGTTTTTGTGTTGTCAAGTCAAAACAATATCACAAGCCTTATGTTTTAAAATACTTATCCCCAACTTTGAATCTAGTATTGCACATTAAACCAAAGTGTAATTTTGGCACTTTTTATCCATAGACCACAACTTCTAGAGGAAAGAAAATTGCAAGACAAGTTAAAAGTCATCATCTTAATTATTTGAAAATATATGTGCATTTTTACATCAATCAGCCATAACACTATGACCACCTGCCTAATACTCTGTACACAGGAATGAGTGCAGCAGTTGGTTGGTCGCAACTCACTGTGCATCTTTGGTGAATCTATTTGCTTTGATACTACTTCTGTCAGGAAGAGCACGAATGTGTCGACCATTCATTGAAAAACTTGTGTAAAAGGAGTGAAAACAGAATTTTTAAGACCAATATCACCACTATAGCTGCTCAGTGTTTTCATAGAAACCAATGTACAGTATTTCTCATTTTCAACCATTTTAACAATCAAATCAATTTTAATCTTTTGAAAAGTACAAATGGAAGTTAAAAGTTTAATCTACACTAGGTCAACCTCATCATCAGTGAGCCGTGGGCGTCCATGACCCTGTCACCAGTTCACTGTTTGTCCTTCCTTAGACACTGTTGGTAGGTACTAACCACTGCAGACCAACAACACCCACTAAGACCTGCAGGGTGGGAGATGCTCTGTCCCAGTTGTCAGCCATCACAGTTTGGCCCTTGTTAAAGTCCCTCTGATCCTAATGCTTGCTCATTTTTCCTGCTTCCAACACATCAACATTGAGGACTGAATGTTCACTTGCTGCCTAACAAACCCCACACACTGCCAGGTGCCATTGTAACAAGATAATCAGTGTTATTCACTTCACCTCTCAGTGGTTCTAAGTACAGTTGTGGCTTACAGAGGATGTTTCCTGTTGATTTTGGTGGCTGTGTCATGGCCTGGCCAGGTCAAAAAATGCCCTGCTTCTGAACACTAGTCCTTTACAAGTTATTTTGAAAAAATAAAAGCCCCAGACAGCCAATTCCCAGTTGAGATTTCTAGATGCTGAACCTTTCAGTAATAAGTATATAAAAATCAAAATCAGGTATGGCATAAGAAGAATTTAAATCACAGCAATAAAGTACCTAATTTTAAGTTTAGTCAAAAAATCTGTGTGAGAAGCTGGTTGTGACACAGCATAATTTTTTCTGCCTTCCTATGAAGAGATGTTCTGTTATGTAGGGAGTAGATTGTCTGAGCTTTGTGAGCAAAATGGTGCATTTACTTCTTTACCAAATAAGCACAAATAGCATCAGGAGGTGGAGTCAGTCTGCTGCAGCTCAGTGTTTCACATCCTCCAGCTGTGTGAAGTCACACTTTTGTCTTTAAAAAATGTTTCTCATTGCCTTTATTAGCACATTAACAAAGGGAAGGAAATAGTTGTATAAAACACACACGCTCACATATGTTTAACTCAAACTAGAGCATCATTTGTTTTAGGTATTTACATTGCTTATATTATTCACGGCTTTACCCTTGTGAATAGAATGCGATGAGCATCTGTGCAGCGAGTACAAACCTTTATGTGTCTAATTATAAACAGTTTTCTAATTTTGTCTTTTTGAGCACAGCTGCCATCTTGATGAAAGGATGACATCAGCATCATTGAAGTGAAGCTGTCCAGTCTGTTGCAGCTGTTTCTATGGGGACGGGAAATGAGCTTCGTTTTTTTCTGTTTTTCTTTCAGGTTTATCACTGACAAGCGTGTGACTGCTCAGATTAACACACAAGGAAAATCATCGTGACGTAACGTGACCGACAACTTCTTATTGCATTCCTGGTTGACATTGTCATTTATTTTAAAATCTGTCCTCATCCCTGACGTGAACCAACCATGTCTGGGAAGGAGCGCAGCCCCCGCCACCGGCCGTGGTCAGTCTACCGGGCCAACACTTTTGATCTCTCAGCTGAGATGATGGGGCTGGCTCTCTCAGGTAACTAAGTAACTGCTACCATGGTAATGTGTTTACTTCATTGATGATGAACTATCAGCATTCTTCTCTCTGTCCTACAGGCAACAGTCAGGATCCGGACGAGCCTGTGCTGGAGTTTAGTGTGGGTACGTTAAGGAGGGAACCATATATACTCTGCTGCACATTACAGATTACACAGTCCTTCATTTGATGGTGGTTTGATTAGTACTGGTCAGAATATTTAACTTTAATGACAGAGTTCACCTGACTTACACCATAAGTGCAAGATAATTAATCTTTAACAAATCTCATCAAAAGACAAAAACCAACAATGAATTGATCATAGTAACTACACTGGCTACACAGGCAGGTGTTAGTTAAAACGGCAGTGACCAGCTATTGCAGGAAATTATGGAGTTTTTTTTATTTATTTGAAACTGTTTGCTACACCGTTGATTTTGGTCTTTACAGTATGATTTGTTTACATTAAAAAAATTTACAACATTAACCTCATCTTTTAAATTTGCACTAATCAATATTTCTATATTAGCAAATGATTATGGATCTAGTCTTACTCCTACTGACAAACACACATGTAATTATCTGCTATACCTTCACATCTGTGTATCATTTGGCCCCAAAATAATTTGATGCTACTTTAAAGGATGAAGGATGATGTGTCTTGTGAGTGATTAGCTCAGTTGCCAGCAATATCTTTTGCATGGACAGATCCATTACCTGAAAGCAGCTGCTACTCACTTTCTAGCTCAGAAACACTGTATTAGCTTCCTCCCATATCTGAGGATTAGTGACCAGCCCACTAGTAAATCCCACAGTTTGTAATCTCTTCCTGTGTTTCTACGGTGCAGCCTGCAGTGAACTGCTTACGCCATCTCTGGATCGCAAGCCAACCACCTTCGTCGCCATCAGTTGCACCACCCCGCCCCAGGCCTTCTGGACCAAGCATGCTCAAACAGAAATCATTGAGGTACACTGTGCTACTTACTTGCACTTCCTTCCTGTGTGCTGTCAGACTTCAGACCCATTCTCCTCTCCATGTCTCTTTGAATCCAGGGGACCAATAATCCCATCTTCCTGAGCAGTATAGCATTCTTCCAGGACTCTCTGATCACTCAGCAAACTCAGGTCAAGCTTTCTGTCTATGATGTAAAGGACCGCTCCCAGGGCACGGTAAGATTCCAAACCCGCGTTAGAAAATAAAGAAAATTCTTATTTACTACAACCTTTGTTGTCTACATTTATCTGGGTGAAATTCTTTAAATCTGTTGCTTATGTGTGTTTTAATGTGATAGATGTACATGCTTGGCTCGTCCATGTTTTCTGTGAAGGAGCTGCTACAGGACAAACACCACAGACTGCACCTGACTCTCAGGTAACTGCTAGACATAAGGTAGCACACTCAGCAGCTGCATGGTGAATTTGGGTTCAGGGATGTTTAACTGATTCGATGTCTCTGTGTGCCAGGTCAACAGAGAATGAGCGTGTGGGCAACATCACTATCATCGCCTGGCAGATAGAGGAGAAGCGCGAGCAGAGAGCTCCTGTTGCAAGGTTACAAAGAGGAGACACTGTTAATGGAAGGGTAGGTGTCCAACAGAAATCTATTTCAAATGATACAAGCTAAAAATATTTGTTTCTGTCAGATTTTTTCATAAAAGTATCAAAAGCGGATACGATTAGTCAACTGAGAGAATATTAGCAACTATTGTGATAATCACTGGATCAGTATTTCCTAGTTTTAGCTTTGGAATTGTGATGATTTCTGCCTTTTTTGTATTATTTTGTAGTATATAACATATCCTTAACAATTTAATAACAATCTTGGGCTTTGAAAATTGTGTTGACCATGGTTTACTGTCTTCTTACTTTTACAATCAGCTGTTTAATCATTAATAAATAAATAAATAAAAAGTTGCCTAGAAAATATATTTGACTTAGTGTCTCACAGCCTGTTTCTGGTTGTACTGTTTTAATGAGCCCAGTTGTTACAAATGGATGAATGAATGAGGATTTCTTTAAACATAAATGTTTTTGTGGTATGTGTGTGTATATCAGATGGTTCTCCCTGTTGATGAAAGCCTGACTGAATCCATGGGCATTAAATCCAAGTCGTCATCTCTGTGTAAGGATCCACTGCTGAAGGCTGGTGAGTGCATGTCCATATGAACTGAACATTAACCTCCCATGAACTGGTTGAGTTTTAGTAGCAGGTGGCACTTGGTTTGCTAGCTATGCCACAATGATTCATGGCTTTTGAAAGCATGTTCCGGTCTGCTTCAGTCTTTGGAGGCGTCATGTCGCGGATGTACCGTTTCCCCACCACGGATGGCAACCACCTGCGGATCCTGGAGCAGATGGCAGAGAGTGTGCTCTCCCTGCACATCCCTCGACAGTTTGTCAAACTGCTCCTGGAGGAAGATGCCGTCAGGTAACATCCGAATATCGCCTTGATACTACTGAGCAGAATGCGAACATGTAGTGCAGTGATTCACACCCTTATGACGCCTTCATGCAAAGCAGTGTCCATTTGCCTTAGGGTCAAGTTGTTTTTTATTCAGTCTTAGTCTCAGTCACTCTCACAGAGCAGTGCATGAGACATTAAAGGATTTTTTGTAATGTTTTTTCCATAGTGTATCAACGAAGCATGTTTATTTTAGGCTTGTAGTTTTATGTTGTTTAATTTGTGACAATATATAATCCTGTAACTTGAAACATTATGCAAGAATAGTGTGTTTTTAATATGATTCTATTTTTGGACTTGGCCTCCTCCTCATTTGGATTTGCTTGACTTGGACTTGTCTCAAAGTAGTCTTGACTACAGTACTGCCCTTCGTCACAGGTTGTAAATGAGTTGAAAGCAGTGGTGACAGTGACATTAGAAAAATATTGTCACTTTTATGACCAGTTTTTATTAGCGTTTATATTTATCCAAAGGAATTTTTCTCCCGTTTCTCCCTGGGGCCATTACACACTGTGCATGCTGACAGTGTGTTATTCTCTATGATGACTAGTCTGTTCTTTGTGTAATCTATTACTGTATCATGATCATATTGTCAAAGTAACACACTCCCACTGCTGGCATTTTCAACATGACTGCTTGTAATACTTGCGATTTGAGGAGTTAGAAATGCTCAACTGTTGTGTTGATTGCACAGTCCTTAACTGAAAAAGCTGCAAGGTCACCAGTGTGTCACCTGGATGTTTTGTCTTAATTATTATTGTCTTTGTGCTCCACAGAGTGTGTGAGCTGGAAGAACTTGGTGAGCTGTCTCCATGTTGGGAAAACCTCAGGAGGCAGATCATCACTCAGTACCAGACCATCATCCTCACCTATCAGGAGACCATAAGTGACCTGCACGAGTATAAAGGTTAGAACGAGTTAAAACGTATCAGGTTAAAGGGCCACTCCAACATTTTTACTGTTTGCCCATAATGCCAGTATACCTAAAAGTAATATCCCCATCATAGCTTGACCCTCATAATATGAATCATTGACCATGAAAACCTACTGCTGGCATTTGGAATCACACTGATATCATTATTAGTTAGAAAGTTATTCAAGACAAACGACAGACATGAGCAACTACTAAACGCCATGAATGGCTAAATAAATGTGCCATGCAGACTGAAATAACAATGTGTACTTACAGTCCTTCACAGATGCACACAACTCAGCATTTGGCTGCATGTAAGTTGACTTTAGAGTCCATTTTCCAATTAGCTCCACTCCTCTTCACTCCGAGTCTTCATCAGCACAGCCGTACACTTTCCAACACTCATAATGGTGAAATATCCTGGATCCAGATCAACTCCAAAATCTCATCAGTTTTAATTTTTGAGTTATGCTGTGAACAAACCGACCAACAAACAAAGAATCAAATGCTGCTAAAAACCTAATTCGTGCAAAAAAATAAATAAATAAAAAATAAAAAAAAATAAACAGAGCAGATTATCTGTTTTCTCTGTTCGGGTCCCTCTCAGGTCCTTCATTCAAGTCTAGCACCTTGAAAGCTGAGAGGAAGCTGGAGTTCATTCCCACTAACCTGCACATCCAGAGGATGAGAGTACAGGGAGAGTCTGGTTATGGTAGGTATTTGTGCACATGTGTTTACTGCATACTTGTGCTGCAGGTGTCCAAACTGAATAATACTGTTTTAATATCTAACATCATACTCTTTATTATGTGACCCTCTGTCGACTGGATTGTCCTTCGATCAGACCGGACTTATGACGTTGTGACTATGGGTGCTCCTGCAGCACATCATCAAGGCTTTAAAGGCTGTGGTCTCCGAAAATTGCTGCACCAGCTTGAGGAAGCCAGGAAACAGTGAGTAGAGCCAAAAATACACGGCTCTTGTGCCACAAGTTTAATGGTAATGTTGGACTTTTACAAGCTAATAATGAACCTTTCTTGTGGTTTTTTCTGCCTTATTTTGTTCAGCACTTATGAGGAGGAGAGGTGAGGTCATGTGTAGTGCACTATAAGTTGTTTGGTTGTGGATTTCTGTCACTGCTGTCTGTACAATACTTGTCCCAATATGTAGTTTCTATTTTCTGTCTCTGTCTTTCACACATACGTTAATGCACACCCAAAGCTCTGCTGGCTCTGGCTCTAAAGGAATGGCTTACCAGCCTCAGGATGTCATGAAAGCAAAGGAGCTGATTGGTCAAATTAACACCCTGAAGACACAAGTGTGTTACTACACTGAACGTCTGTCACGGGCTGCCAAGGAACGCTCCGCCAACGCTCTGGAGAGAACCCTGGCCATCCTAACAGAGAAGGTAAGACAGTACACAGAGGGTGTCAAACTTAGGCTGTGTTATAGTTTCTTCTCTGTTTAATCTCACAACACACTGTCCTTTCTGTCTCACTGGCTTTCACTGAACCCCCGACCGCTTGACTGTTCATCTCAACTCTTATATAAACAAACAGTTCTTACAAATCAAGAATATTTTTCTGACTTTCTCTTACCCTCCCTTTACCCCTCTCTCTCTCGCTGGCCTCCTCTTGTCTCGCAGACTCGTCAGCTGGTGACCGCGTGTGACTCAAAGCTGCTTTCTTCAGCCATCCTCGCCTTGGCTGCTGCCAGCCCAGAGTTCACTCGGCGAGACACCCCATCCCCATCCTCCTCTTCCCTCTCACCCTCCTCTCGCTCCCCATCACGCTCCCCTTCTCGGCACCCTACTTCTCCGTCTCGTGCCGCCACCTCGCCCTCTCGCCATGCAGCTCCTCCAGATGGCAGTGAAGGGAGTAAAAACAAGCGGTCTTCCTTGCAGGCAGATTTACACGAAGTGGAGTGGGTAAGAGAAAATCCTTGTGTCTCATCAGCGTCCATGTTCATGTGTTTTTTTATCTTAACTAACTTCATTTGCGATGTGTGTTTGTGTGTAGGAGAAGGTATGGCTAAATGTTGAGAAGAGCCTGGAGTGTGTGATCCAGAAGGTGGACAGGCTGCTGCAGCGTGACAAACTCCAGAGCGACAGTAGCTCTGAAGATGTCTTTCTGCTCACCAACGAGGACGCAAGTAACCCTAAGAAAGGTAGACACACAAAAAGATTTTGCAGCATGGTGTGTAAATAAAAGGCACATAGTCATCCACCACCTCTGTGGGCAAAGATAAAAGGATTAATATGAATGTGTCACTCTCATGAGGTATCCTTAGTAATCAGGATACCTCCTAAACATTAAGTTAAGGATTAACAATCATCATCATCGCAACCATCACATCATCCTCTACTGTCAGCACTGTCCTCACATCCACCACAGATTCATGATGATGATCATCATCCTCACCAATTGTCAGCATCCTCTCACCTCAAACTACTTCAGTGTTTCTTGGTGTTAAAAATACAAGAACTTTGAGAATGTTGAATGTTTGAGGAAGAATGTTGAGGTGAAAATATAATGAGTTGTGTTTTTATCTAAGTTTTTAAAAACTTCTCTCACTTGTAGATAACAGCCCAGGAGTAGAAAAGACATCCCCAGGTGAGAGCAATATTTATTTAATAAGTCGGCATGTGTATGAATTAGGTTTAAACCTATATAACATTACAAATGACCAGTAATTTTATGGTTTAAAATGTTAAAGTACAGAATTGTGTCATGTATTAGTTACATGAAAAATAGAATTATTTGCAATACAGAAGCATCCTTAATAAGACCAAGTGTAACTTGTATAATGAATTACATTTTTAATCAAATTATTTCAAGCCAGAATTTAAAATATTTTATTCATTTACAAGGATATTTGTAAGATTTCATAATGATAAAGGTGATTTGAATATTTTGATTTGTAGAACTGAATTTAAAACCCAAAATGAAGAAACAATTTTTTTTTTTTAGATCCACTCAACCTCAGGACCAGGAGACCATGTGGGGATGCTTGATACAGCTAGTAGATTAGGCCCCTGGACATCTTTTACTTTTATTTCTTTCATTTTAAATACATCAAAGTTTAGCATTTAGATATCGTTGCGCTGAACCTTTTCTGCATCATGTGTGTGTATCTGTGTGTATGTGTATTCTGTAGGTGTTTAACTGTGCGCTGTGTCCGCAGGTGAGTGGAGCGACGCCCTGTATCCTCTCCTCACCACACTGACAGACTGCGTGTCTCTGATGAGCGACAAAGCCAAGAAGGCCATGGTTTTTCTGCTGATGCAGGACAGTGCCCCTACCATCGCCATGAGCCTCACACTGCAGTACCGTCGTGACGTTGTCTTCTGCCAGACGGTCCGTCAATGTCTCTGTCTGTCATGCAGTTTTGGAGAATTACTTGTCATTACACAGTGTGCATAACATGAGACCAATCATAACTATTCATGGCTCTGCTAATATGAGTTGTGCTGCTTACAGCTGACGGCTCTGATCTGCGGCTTCATTCTCAAACTGAGGAACTGTATCTGTGACTCAGGCTTCCTCAGGCAGCTACACACCATTGGCTTACTGGTGCAGTATGAGGGCCTGCTCAGCACCTATGGTAACCTGTGTGTGTGCAGATGTGTGTGAGTGTTTAGCTGCATGCAGGCTTATTAAAAACATATCACACAAAAAATAGAAAGCACTAAGAAAGTGCAACAACTCAACCAGATTCAAAGACAAGCAAGCAGACATACAGGACCTAAACCAGCAACGATATTATTGTTCTTTAGGTTACGTTCTTGAAGTTTGTACTATTGATTTCTTTTCACAGATATCTGTATGTATTATTATCTCTATGAACCCCTGTGTTGACTTCTTGTTTCTTAAAGGGGAGGAGCTGGCCATGTTGGAGGATATGAGTGTTGGAGTGATGGACCTGAGAAATGTCACCTTTAAAGTTACTCAAGCAACCTCAGGTTTCGCCCCGGACATGCTGCCAGTGATCACAGGAAACAGGAATGGCTTTAACGTCAGGATCCCGCTGCCCAGGGCGATGTTTGACACGCTGCCACGAGAGATCCAGAACGGGATGCTGCTGCGTGTGCAGCCCGTCCTGTTCAACGTGGGCATCAACGAACAGCAGACGCTGGCTGAGAAGTGAGTCACTGAGACTAGAGCGCAGGAAAGGTTAATGGCCTGAGGGCAGAATAGGCACCACAGATAAACATCAGTTTTTAGATATGGATATAAGGTTAATAATTTCAAATAAGAAACAATAACAGATTGTATTTACCTTCTGTTACATTTGTGTAAACCACCTTTTGATCTAAGTGTACTCACCCCCACAAACAGCTATATTATCAAAATGACCCCCGTTTCACGTTTTCAGCCTTGGGTTGTTTGAGTTTGGTATGCTAGTTCTGAACACAAATAGCTGGTATTTTAAAAGGATTTTTAATGCAATATTTAAATTGCCTTATTAAGATGTGTTGTAAAAATGTACTGTATACTGTATATTTTAAATGCCACCTAAATGTAATAAGTTTATCCTTGTATCCAAATGGACATTTGTGCCAAATATTTAAAAAAAAAAAAAAACCCTCAAGGTGTTCTTGACACATCATTTTTCACAAGACTGGGACAAATGTCAGGTCAGTGACCTTGACCTTTGACAACCAAGATCAAATCAATTTATCCTTGAGCCCAGGCACTGTATATACTTGTGCCTAATTTGAAGAAATTCCCTCAAGGTGTTCCTGAGATATCGTGTTCACAAGAATGGGCCAGACAGACTTATGGACAGACAACCCGAAAACATAAGGCCTCCGGCCGTGGCTATCGCCAGCACAGAGGCATAAAAATGTATTTAATCAATGCACAGACATGCACATAAAAGGTTGAATGTAATAGCAAATCTGACATTGCAAATAACAAAACCGATAGAAGTTGTAATAGAGTAGTGTATTGTATTTGCAATCTGCTTAGCAATTGATTTTTGTTAGTATCCCCATTAGCTGAGGCACTCCTCCTGGGGTCCACACAAAGTTATGAAGCTTGACTGTTTTTTATAGCAAAGTTTTGTTTATTGTTGGTGTGGTGAGGTGGGAAGGTCAGAAAATGGTTGAAATAAACGTTTTTAAGAAAAGAGGCTTTAATGATTATGGGTAAAGTTTTTGAGAAAGGTTAGATAGGTGCTCATACTGGATCACCCAGGTTAACTACTGCTGAGACTACAAATTGTACAGTAGAACAATGAAATATTTTTAAATTAAACTCCCATTTAGTACAGGACAGTAACAGGCCAACTATGACAGTCATAAACATTGAAAGATTTCACCTCTAATAATGCATGTTTCCAGGTTTGGAGACACGTCACTGCAAGAAGAAATCAACATGGAGAATATGACTCGCCTCAGCTCATACTACAACCAGTATAAAGAAGTCTTGCCAGAAGACTGTGAGTCTGCATAGAAACTTTTAGCAGAAAGAAAAGCTTGTACCTTTTCAGCCTCCCCCACCTTGTCACTCCTCCTCTGTAATCTCCCCAGGCCTCCCTCGCTCCTGCAGCACCACCGGTCTGCCTGAGCTGTTCAAACTGCTAAGCCAGAATGTGAACTCCAAGAAAAGCAAGAATGTGGAGATTCTGTGGCAGGCGGCCGAGGTAAACTCACGTTTTGTGTATTATTATTCAGACCCAAAATTTATAAGCTCTGTCTTTTTCCTCTACTGTGTTTCTCTGAACCCTAAAGGCCTGTCGCCGCCTGAACGGAGTACGTTTCACCTGCTGTAAAAGTGCCAAGGACCGCACAGCCATGTCTCTGACCTTGGAGCAATGTCAGATCCTGCAGCAGGAGCATGCCCTGGCCCCACAAGTCTTTTACCAGGCTTTGGACTGTATGCGCAGGTCAGTCCCTTCACCTGATCTCATTTGAAAAGTATTACTGTTAGTATAGTGTGGTAAATAACGCATGTTTTCTGTTTCTCCATAGTGAGGGCTGCAGGAGAGAGAACACCATGAAGAATGTGGGATGTCGTAAATACGCCTTTAACTCTCTCCAGCTTAAAGCCTTCCCCAAACAATATCGCCCTCCAGAGGGGACATATGGAAAAGTTGAGACCTAGGTGGACTTCTCCATGTGAAAGAAACCAAGACTGAAGGGGATAATAATACACACACACACACACACACACACACACAAAAAACACAAACTGGGCCAGCCCTTTGTTTTGTGCTTAGTCACTGTTAAGACAATTCATGTCCAGGTGTCAGTGCTACTGTTTCCCCTCTCCTCTCAGTAGTACTAGAAAGTCTGTTTTCATGGCCACTTCACGGCTGGAAAGTTCCAAGTTTCTGTGTTGTAGCCAATGTGCAGACACCACTGTTGGCTGCCATTCCAGTAGTTGCATCATGCAGCGTATATAGCCACTCTGAACTTGAGACAATTTAAATTATGTCGTTAGAAATAAGATGTGCAAATGTCTCATTCTTTAGAGAAATGAAGTGGCACACATACAGCACCTGTACATGTCCAAGTTGCTTTTATTTGATGTTATCAGTTAAAGGATAAGACAGGTGATCGTTTATATATTTTTCTTATTGTCAACAAATTCCAAGGGGCAACCAAAACCAAAAAAGAATTTATCCAGCTAACAAGAATTTCCTATGAAAGCCTGATGTAGCTTTTCCATCTGTGCCATAGACCTCCTAGCTCACACAAGCGAGCTCCATTTTTGTACCGAATAACGTTCCTGCATGACAGTGAACATGGATGCTGTAGTAAAAACTCACTAGCACTCCAAATGTGCATTAATCCACCCGTGAAAATAGTCCCCAACGAATGCACAATTTACTTCTGTCTTAGTACCATTTGTTATAAACTGCAGTGCCCAGCTGTTTTAGAACATTACTTGAAAAATGACGTATTTGGGACCAGTTTTTAAGATTTATAACTTCAATAGGAACCAGTCATCTTGGGGCACAGTGCCACAGGAATGGTACATAGGTCAGCGAGCACTGAGAAAAGAACTAACTCATTATTTTTGGCTTGTTGACAGTAAAACTATATATAAAATAATGCCAGTCTCATTTTTCAGTGCTATACTAGGTATTTGTTGAAATCACTCATTTTCATCAGCCTAAATAAAAGAGGTGAGGCTGTACTGAGATCACCAAAGGTTCACCTTATTTGTCACTTATGGTCAGTTCTACAACAACCTTATGGTAAGAGCAAATTAAATACAATGTAAAAACAATGTAGCCTCTTTGCTGCCATTTGGAGCTGACTTCATGTAAAGCTGCCTAATGTGACTTTAAATCCAGTGTGAAGCACTTGTCGGTTGTCTCTCTCACAATGTCTCTTTTTATCTTTCTGCTTCAATTACATGAAGATTAAACACAATATCTCTCTGTAACAAGCACAGATCTTTTAAGAAGTACTATCTGACAGTACTCTGACATTCACAGTGATGTCTTATGTGATTTCTGAAGCTACACTGATTGATGGGGAACTGCTTCACAAAGCTTGCTTTTCAGAAGTAGAGCATCACATATTTAAGACATTTTTAGGTTATATGCAGCACTATAATGTTTTGATGGCCATTCAAATTTGGATGTTTAAGTGTCATCAGTTTTCAGCACACTGTAGAATTATGCAGAACTTTGTGATCTAAATTGGATAAAAACTTTAATTTAATCTGCATGAAGATTTAACAACTCTACTACTTTATACTATTGCAGTTGTATACTGTTGCAGTTATAAGTGGGCAATTGATAAATGTTTTTAAACTGAAGTGAAATAATGCATATTGCATTATTGTGCAGACTATCAACAACATCTCACCTGTTTACTAGCCTCCAGTGTACCTTACTGTACAAAACATTCAGATACAGCGGATTTTATTTTGCTTACAGGTATCTATGTTGTTATGCTGTTATAGTTTTATCCATTGTTACTGAATAAGTTATGACTTTGCTCTGATCGGTTGTACATGCACGCATGTTGGACGGGGTAGTCTGGAGACACCTGCATCCCCTCAGAGGTGTGAAATGAAACTGAAAAAAAAATAAATAAAGCTTATTCATACCAAAAAAAGTGTCAATTAAATGACATAATTTCGGAATTGGCAAAAGATGCTCATACGGAAGCATCTTCAGAAAGTGTATGTCCACTTTTAATTTTAAAACATTCATCCATTCTAAATTCGTTTCTCTCATACCGAGCTCCTGATCATTGCATGCATATAGGCTGCTGTATGTAGGCCTACAATATGCGTCTATGTATACAGGGAAATGTGTTTCCCTTTAAGGCTATTTCCGGAAACTGCGTCATTGTCATAGATTGTCTAGCTTTATGTAGGTAGAACTTTATTGATCCCACAGTGAGGAAATTCCAGTGTTCCAGCAACAGTAAAGGACAAACAACATGGCACCATAAGAATAAACACCCCACACATATCTTGAGTAAACAAGATCCAGGTACCCGAAAACCAAACAAAAATATAGCATTTCAGAGACAATCAAGAACAAGAATAGACCTTCCACAGTTTGTCCCTGTGACACAAGTCAAAAAAGATACCAAAGAACAAGACAAAAAAAAAGAATAGTATTGAGAGGAATCAAGAAAACAACCAGGAAATCAAGAACCGAATATTGCTCTCACAATTAATCCCACAATGGGGGAAAGAAACCTGTGTTTCAGCCATAATAATCCCTGAGGAACTACTGAAAAATACCTAAAGCAGGGAAATGTACAATATTTGAGATAAGGAACAAGATACTACACAAGTTTATTTACAATGCATTTCACGCCCAGGAGTTGAATATTGCACCTCAGTAGATTATTATATTCCCTAGACTACCGCATCCGACACACAGTCACGCAGCCTGACAAACTGAGGTCTGTTTGTGAGGTAGTTAATGATCCATGCAGACAGGTGTTTGTCCACACCTGCCCCCTCCAACTTCCCCCTCAGCAGTGATGGCTGGATTGTGTTGAAAGCACTGGAGAAGTCAAAACGAAGAATCACTTCATTCAAAACACCGATCTACTGTTCATTCTGAAAATATGGGCGTTCACTCACGTAGCCATAAGTTAAATGAACTGTCTTTACTATTTTAACTCAGTTAAAGGTGGAATGATTCTCAAAATTCAGTTATAAGGTGATTTTTTCTGGAGTCTTTACATGAGATAGAACCTGAGCTACAATGAAATGATTAACTCTTACCTTGATGACAAATTACACATGAAATCTTTACTTGCAGAGTACGGCATGTAGTGAGCTCGTTGAGTTTTCCACACATCGCCATATTTGGGGTGAACCAGTGCTACGCTGCTCGAATGGCTTCTCTATACAACTTGTGGTGCACAGAAATCCCGGCAGAGTGAGAGCTCTTCGCATCGGCCTCCTCTCAAACTTAGCGTGCACGGAAGTGCGTTACAGCGACATTTTCCATTTTCAAAAACGCTGTAACGCTACATCTTAAAAACTAAGCAGCTGTTTG